CGCACTGCTAAACGCTAACCAATCAGCGTCGACTGCGATAAATAAACTGTCAACTGTCAAATTGACGCAAGGCGTGTACATTGTGCAACATGAACAATAATAATACAAAGCATTAGCGGGCCGCACAATATATTACTCGGAAAAATATAGAATTCTTCAAATATTAAATAGATATCAATACACATACAAATATAAAGCCGAATAAACTACCATTGGCTTTGAATGTACAGTAATACTTGTACTATGTGCGACTGAAAGAACAATGTTCTGAATATTTTGAAGCTATTACTAAAATACGGTCAGATAGATTGGGATTTGGAATACCGAATACGTTTAAAATTTTACTAACTGTGGTCTAAATAAATGATAAATGAGCATGTATTTATTAATTTCTTCGAAATCACGAGTGTGCCAATAGTGGAAGCCGTATCGACGACGAAATTGTCAGCAGTTAATATACAGTATTAAAACAGTACAACGTTTAATGTACGATATATATATTTATCTAAATGACATGCCAGCGAGGATCGACAATATAATTATTCGTACATATTTGGGTATCTTTTGTATGCCTTCGCTTGCTGACTTGCTCACTAATGAGAATAATCCGTGAAGCCACGACGACCTCAAAATGTACTATACTATGGTCTGATGTCAATCCGAAGACGAAGTTCAGAATACTGTTATAGTTTCGTATATTGGATTTAAGCGATAGATTCAAGTCATTTATGATAGACTTTTTTGCTGTGATGCTTTGCTATTGCTTTTGGTTTCCATTTCTAGTTTTATTTGTTCGATAGTCCTATAATATATAATATTAAAATGAATAAAGTTCAAATTCTTCAAAATGCTGTTGTTGACATTTGCTATTTTTAGTAATTTTGTCAACGAGTGTAAGCCAATCAGAAGCCTGCGTTTCTATACGAACGCCACTACCAAGAAAACCTATCATCCGTGCAGGCCCTCTATTCTTCGCGCCGCCCGCAACCCAGGGCCTGTTCGCAGGCTAATCTTGTCTATGATGATATGATCTACTGCCGACCAAAATGGCTGGGGAAGTTCGACATGGTGCTAAAAAGTTTACACGTATACCAGCTAAGTATGTTTTTCTATTTTGCTTAGAATGAACCCTTTTTAAAAGCATATATTATAAATATTATCGCCCCACTAGAAGGAATCGAACTTTCTGTGCGATGGAAGAATAGAATCTGTACACCCACGTTCAGACGCGCTTTGTTTACATTCCCATATGAAAGCGTTGTGCGTCGGATATGTGTTCAAAATAAACTACTTTTGTGCACAAGCTAGAGCACAATTTTTCAATTCAGTTATGCCTGGTGCACATATTATAATTGCCCAACTGAACATTAAACAGTTTGTTGTTTACGAGAAATTTCACCTAGAATTACCGTACTTTCGTTTTCGATTTGGAGAGATCCTTAAAGTAAAACTGGCAAGAAATGGTTTTTGTGGGACTCTGAATCTCAAAATTTTCCTGGAAGAGGACCCCCATGCCCACTTGCCAATTCTGCTGGTACTGTAAACCTCTGAATACAGTGTAAGGCTGTAAGCCCTTATATTTTTTTGATAGGCTCATACATGGGGGCTTGTGCGGCCGACGCGTTTGATATTTGATAACCAACGCCGTGGCAACTACACTGTGATCGGGGCTTATATTTGGAATGGTCTGAGCATTGGTGAATATGGTGGACTTATAAGCAGGGAGGGGGCTTATAAACAGGAAGGAGGCTTATATTTGGATGTTTACGGTATTGTCATAAGGCCCATTTACGCTGGCATATGAAAACGACTGTTGACACCATTATGTGACATCTTTACACACATGGAATACACATATATGCCAGGACAAGAATCACATACAAATAGTTGCAATGTGTAAGTGGGCCTATATAGATATTAAGTGCCAGTGTAGTAGGCAAATTCCAATTATATAAACCATTCAACAATGAGATTTTCCCCAGGGGAATGTTAATTTTAACTTTGAGAAATGACAGACAAATGTAAACAAGGCAATTAAGAGATCTGTGGGAGTGAGTAGGGTTGCAGAAATCTGTAAAAATATCTCCCATGTAAACCCAGTATGGAATGAAGGTGGTGTGCACGGCACATGTGCCATGCACAACGTTGCTCCGGCTAATATATTTACTAGTATTTTGGTGCACATTTTGTCAAATGTGCGGTGCACAAAAAATTGTCATTCCATACAGGATGTAAACTGAAGCGCTGGATAGAATTTGGCGAGAAAGTTAATTTATTTAATAAACTGCTCCAATTGAGTTCTTATCCAGCTGGATAGTAGCAAAATCGTACTATCCGATATTCAGCCGAATAATTACTATTATCCAGATGATTTGTTTTTCCTCAAGTGTACTAAATTTCCATTAATTGAAACATAAAAATAATACATACAGTGTATATCTTATTGGATTCTTCTGAGCCCAAGATGGCAAAATATCTTTCTCCTCTGCAGAGGTGATTGGAATAGGCTTACACGAATCTTACATGAAGTTTCGGAATCTTACATGAAGTTTCGTGCATGCTTACATGAAGTTTCCTGGGGGGAGGGAGGCACGTGGGGAGCGACAGGAAGGCGGAAGAAAGAAGAAAAGGCATGTAAGATTCATTATGTAAGCCTATTCCATTCATGTAAGCCTAGGTATTCCAATTGCCTCTGCGGAGGAGAGAGGCAAAATATTAGGTCGAGACTTCAATATTGGGCGAGACCGAAGGTCGAGCCTAATAATAATATTGAAGTTGAGACTTAATATTTTGCCATACTGGGCGAAGATGAATCCAATAAGAGTTTTATATTATATCAACCAAAACAATTTTATAACAAAAAATTGTCAATATTTAAATACTTGTTTTTACAAATATATGTGCATAAATATACTCAATTCCGTGTATGTTTAAAGGAAATTTGAACTAATTTCAATGAAAAAAATAAATTACTAACCCAGAGGCTGTTGCAAACAAATTAATTTTGCGAAGACAAGTTTTCCCGCGCTTTTATAATTTTGAACAAAACTGGTAGAAAAAACTGTATTGATGTCCTGAATTATTTTCATTGCTCTGCCATATCGCTTGTCCGGAGACAAGAGATAGAGATCAATACAAGAAATGGATTTATTTACTGTTTAAATATTGGTGAGTGGTTTTAAACAAAGTTGTACACAGCCCATTGTACTTATCCACCAGATCAACACCTAGGTTAGCATATGTAACAAGACAAAACAAGGAAAAATTCATATATATATATATATATATATATATATATATATATATATATATATATATATATATATATATATATATATATATATATATATATATATATATATTACCCTTGAGAAACACCAAATAAAATCTTCCCATAAATATGTGGTAACGTTTGTTTCGTAATGCACTGGGTAATTATAAACAGGTGACATTATGATATGGTATTAATTTAACTTTAGATGGAAGGATTATAGTGTCTGTGGAAAGGTTATAGCTGGTGAGAGGTTGATCTCATTCAAAACTCCATTATCAGAGGTTTGTTGTACAAATAATGGTTTATCATTAGGGGGAAGTTTAGTTTTGACTACGAGTATGACAACGAGTACGAGACCAACAACAAACCAACGAAATTTGTACTCAACAGCATGTTCACTTGACTACAACTTGCCAAAGTCAGCACAGAGTTGCTATACTTTTGGCAGGAAAAATTTCGTACTCGTTGTCATACTCATTGACATTGGATTACAGGCTAGTGTTTGGCTAGGCAGGATATATGTGTTTCATGTTCAGTGCTACTAATAAACATAAGAGGCAAGGTGCGATGTTCACCTGAATTTTCGTGGAAACAAGGGAATTGGGGGATGATTGTGAACCCACACAATCTTTGCAAGCAAATGAATTTGTCTGTCTCCATACAGATGTTTTACACTTGTATTTACTGTACAACATAATAAAATAAACTTGTGCATGTGGCGAAAAAATATCAGTGGCCAACTAACCATTTACCATTATGGTCAAGTAATGGGAAGCTGAAGCCTGTCTGCCCAACTTTGAGAAAAGGGGCAGCTACTGTACTTGTAAGCCCCTCCAAAGATTAGGACTACGGATCTTAGTCCATATGTAATAATAATCATAATTTGAATAACAATTTTCAACAAATATTTTTAGGAATATCATTGCCATGGAAACGAACGTAATCCAGAAGATTGCTTACAAAAAGAAGAACAGTAAGTATATAGCTTTGCTTGCATTTTGTCTGTTTCTTAGGTTTTTGCAAAATGTCTGACCGTTAAATAGCAAAATGTCTTGCAAAATGTCTGTCTGTTTGAAATGTAATTTTGGTGTTTTCAAAGCTGTAATAATATATAGCTGTATTAATTTAATCATCCCGGTTAACCGGGCCTGCCCGCCTCCATACGAACAGTCCCTTTGTTGTTTAGCTGTTTATTTTTAGAAGACAGTATACTGTAAGGTACAGTTAGTGTATATAGTAGACTTGTAACAGAAACTTTTGGGAATTTCCAACTCCATGAAGGATAAGTCTGAAATCTACTTTTTATAATAAATTTGGATATGGGACAAAAATGTACTTCCATTGTGAAACCTAACTGCTTTTTAATATTCTGTAGATTTACACCAAACGATCTTTGTAACATTTTTCGGAAGAGAGGTCACATTTTGGGGCTAGTTGTGGATTTTACCAACACCAAACGGTATTATCAGGCACAGGTAGAGTTCAATTCTCAAGATATAGTCGGTGATTCAGTGTGAAATCCCAAATTTTTATTTCACAAGTACGGGTGTACGTAGTCCGTTGCAACTATAGGAAGCCACATTCTTAAAGATGAAAGCCGCTTGTGTAGACGATTGCGCAAAGCAAAAGAACGACTTTAGGTTTACAGATCATCTCTAATTCCTGTGCCACGCGCTCTTTGCGTTGTAAACCTTTACATCATTAATATATTTTATTTCACATAGCACTCAGGGTGCTGGTACTTCTTTGTTTTCAACCAAATACCACGTATATACTATTTGCGTACTTGCATTTTGCTGGCACCATAGGACCTTACCAAGCCCAAGGTATTCAAAACCTTATATGTAACGGTGTATATGTACGTACGTCTGACATGACTTGGCATGAAACAAATCAAATCAATCTTTATTTACCCATCTTGGAAATATTATATATTACAACTTAGCAGTATATTTGTTAAGGGTACTGGCAAACCATTAAATTAAATAACTATAAGGGCTAAAAATACCATGGTGCCAGTATAAACGTATTGCGTCGCTGCACTTAAATATGTGAGCATATGTATATACTAATATATACACATATAGGCTACACACAATCATATAATTTAAGAGCGGTTGTCTGTAATAGTCAGGTAAGACGTGTAAAATGAAAAAAATCAAAATCTTTCAAACTTTGTCAGAATGTAGGCCTATATGAAGTATTAATGTTGTGAAAGTTTTATTTCGATCGGATAAATATTGAAGGAGAGAGACGTCGAAATTGGTTTTCCCAGGCCACTTTCGGTTTTTAGAGGTCATTTTACGGCACTACCAAAATCGCTCTATTTTGCACGTTAATGGGAATATTTCACGAAATATGATTTCGTTTTATAAATTAGAGTTATTTATTGAGTAGCAGACGAAATTTAGAGACATTTCTGTAAAAAGTGAATATTTTACAGATTTTCTTAATGTTTTTTATTTTTGAACCTCTTTATTATATGTCATATTAGGCAGCGAATATCTCCATTGTTACATCGATTCAGACAAAAAATTCATAACCAGGTCAAAGAAATATGTTTTTGCTTGCTATTGATCAAATAAAATTTTGGGGCAACGTAGAATTGAATTTTTGACGAATTTTTTCGTAACCCCTATTTGACCCGAATAACCGTATGTTATGTAATCAACGTCGAGTCATGTAGTTCTATAAATAACCAAAGAGCTCGTCAAAAGCGTTTACTTCTTCGAGTAAACAAGCCTAGGCCAATAAAACTACCTTAGCTAAAGCTGTACGATTGGCAGAAAGCATTTAGGTATAAATCACACTGTTTACAGTCGCTTATTGTTCAGGTAATGCCTATAATATATTGTATAGCCGGCGCCGCTGATTTGGCGGATTTGGTTTTAATTATATTTTATCGGGGATATGCCGCAATAAGTATAGCAAGTGTATTTTCTCTCCCCTTCCCATAAACATCTGTTCTTTCACGACTCGTCGTGCTTATAACTTTTCGAACATAAATAGTGCACGCGCTTTTTGTCAAAAACATCGGTCATTTTACGTTGAAATTGTAATTCGTTTACTTACAGTAGTTAATTTAATTAATATTAAAGCTGGATTCTTTCACCGTGATGTCATGCCAAAAGGTGTCTTTTCTATTTTTAAAAACGACCCGCTGTTGATTTATGATTTGGTAATATTTACTATAGTTGTATGTCTTGTATATTTGATTATTTTGTTGTTGCTCAATAACTTTAGTCAAACTTCAGACCAAACTTCTACGCACTGTTAGTTATTAACTGGCCATCACTTTTAAAACAGCAAGAAGATAAAGACAACGTGTACGTGTGAGTTATCCATGAAATAAATAGTTGGTTTACAAAATGAATTCCGTCTTTGTGAATAAAATTAATGAGTTATAAATAATCTCTCCTGTTTGTGTTAAGCTACATGTAGGGATTTCCTCCGGTATATTTCTTCTCTTTTGTATGGCTGTTTGTGGTTACGCGTTATCTGACATATACTTTTGGTCCAATTTCAATTACATTTATCCAACCATTTCTGGATGATACATCTAGAACACTCAGTTCTCAGGCCAAAAAAGTCAACTTCAAAGGGGGTCCAACTTTCCCAGAGGGGGCCCTGGAATGCTGGAATTGCGCAACGTGTTCTACCAAAAACGTCGCCCCACCCACCCACCCCCTCCCACCCTTTACATTTTACTGTAACGCTTTTGCTTTACCAGAAAACATTTTGAGGGGGCCCCTGAAAAGGAAGGGGGCCGAATTTTTTAACTGGGGGAAATCCCTACATGTAGCATTTAACACATACAGGAGAGATTATTTATAACTAATTTTTATCGACAAAGACGGAATTGATTTTGTAAACCAACTATTTATTTCATGGATAACTCACCCGTATACGTTGTCTTTATCTTCTTGCTGTTTT